TAGAACTGTTGTCAAACATTAATTTTCATTAAATACAAGACTGGGGGGTAAAATGGTAATTTTATGTCATTCAGACTGTTCATTCAGAACAGTTTCCAAACAACCTTTTTTCTATCTGACACTAAATCATACAGAGTCTCTTAATCATCCTGACCACTTAATCATCCTGCACTAAACCATTCAGCAACCGCCAAACAGCCCCTAAGTATTACAACCTGTTTGCTTATCATCAAATCTTCTTCTAAGCAAAGCTCAAAAATCTCCGCCTATTTGATGATGACAAAACATGTACATACAATTAAACACTTGGATAAGAATTAAATCACAGCAGATTAAAGATATTCATCTCCGGATGAAATTCCATTACAACAAAAATAGCAGTTAAGATTTTTGGAGATTAAACACCAGATTATAATAGATGATGTCCTATCTATTAGTGGCATCAAGATGTACGGTTTGGTTCAGTTAATTAGCAGTGATAGTTAAGTTGTTGGTGACAAGAGCAGAGAACAGAATTGGCGAAGTGGGGCTTCCATTGATTCACTTCAGCAGTCATGGCATAATGGAGAGGACAGTTGCGAAGAACTTCGATAAATGTCATGAATGGAGATGGTGGATCTTTGGGTCTGAGGTAAACAACAAAGTGATATTTCTGATATTTCCATGTGTCAGCCATTATTATTCGTTTGGAACTCGGGAGAGCTTAAAAGACCTGATCCACTAATAGATAGGACATCATGTATTGTAATCTTGTGTTTAATCTCCAAATATCTTAACTGACATTTCTGTTGTAACGGAATTTCATTTGGAGATGTATGTCTTTAATCTGTTGTGATTTATTTCCTGTCTAAGTGTTTGATTATATGTACAATGTTTTGTCATCATCAAATAGGCGAAGATTGTTGAGCACTGCTTAGAAAAAGATTCAATGGTAAACAAACAAGTTGTAACACTTAGAAATATTAAGAGATTGAAGACTTTTTGGTCATCAGTTGATATATTTAATGATAACCCAATGAACTGATATTAGCCATTGACACTGAACAAAGTCAGACTTACAGATAATCAAAACCCATCATCAGTTCAAGAAACAAGATTTGTTGATAAGCTCTCAAACGAATGATCAAGTGGATAAGTGTTGAACCAATGATGAAGGTATCAGTGAGAAGCCTAGCTACTAACCAAGCATGAGCTTATGTCGATTTGAAGACATCCACTACCATGGACATACTGCTGATAGGTCTAGTAAGCCTCCCTTTTATCCAAATTTGCATTCTACATTCCCGGCCAAATCAAGAGTAAACATGTTTCTGTTGTGTTTTTTCTTATGTTCTAAATTGAGATCAAACCTACTTACATGAGTAGTTAATCAACTATTAATTTTAACGGTTCCTAGACGGTTAAGAAGTTAGCCTTATGAACATTTGCCTTAACAAGTTACCCTTCTGAGTATCAGACTTCTGAAGATCAACCTTCTGACTTGATCAAGCCTTAACCTTCTGAATCAAGTTTGCCTTCTGATCTTGCCTTCTAATCTATCGGCAAGAGCACCACAAGAGGCCACAGCCCCCTTACCCCCGCTTTATGACGATCTCAGATTTAAGTTAGCTTATACGAGCATGCACTCCGCACCTCCTAACCCAAATCATACCTTAACCAAAAACCCATCGATCTCATGTAAATCACAATACAACAATATGATTAATGACACTAAAATCATCCAACAAATTACCTGGATCGCCAACAAGAAGAAGATGGGACTCGCCTCGTACTTTTGTCCCAGAACCATCAACATGTTGTACTCCTCCAATAAGTGTCAAGGCAACTACATTGGACAGTAATTGTGTTCATCATTACCCTGTTACTAGATCTTACAAGGAAGAAAATAACTCTATTCAGTGACACCACGTCCCAAGTACCTTAGTTTAAAATCCATAACCAAGAGGTAGCAAATTAGCAATGCAAACCAATTTTGAATGTTTGAGAGAAATTGGAAGTAAAAGCTACCTGCTAGCTTCACAGTGAAGAGACCATAAACTTGAGGGCAAATAGCCCTAAGAATAGCGTTTCTACCTGTAGAGTTACTATGTTTTCATTTAATCTACCAATAAGGCATACAAGGATGCTTTAATAGATAATAATAGACTACTACCATCAAAGAATGCAATCTTACCATTTAATGGAGTGTCTTTGAAATCTGACCAAAACGTTTTGAATTTCCAAACAATGTCATCAGGGATTTCTATATCCAACTTTACTTCATTTATTCGTCTAAAACAACAAAATCTTAGTTAAAGCAAAAGTAACAATGGAGTATATACAAGGGAGTGAGGGAGGGGAGAGAGAGAGAGAGAGAGAGATGAGATGAGGAAATGGTAGCAACATGAACTCATTTAAATTTTCTGAAGTAAAAGAATAAGTTATAATCTCACTGGCTACTCAACCAGTTCTATTGGTTCTTTATTTGAAACGTGAACTCATTTAAATTTCTGGAGTTGGCACTCATCAAGATAAATCTCGGTACATGCTCTTTATTCTTTTTCCACGTTGATGAGGCAAACCATGAAACTCATACAGGGGTCGTTTAGCCAAATAATCACCATTGCAAACCTGGATCTATAGCTTAAGCAACATAAAAACCTAATCAAGCTTTGTACACCAACCATCATTGTTCAAAAACAGCATAAATCTTCCATACCTCAAGTGAGAACCACATTTATTAGTTGCATGTAGCATCATTTCAAGCTTGTGATTGATGTTATTTCTATAGCGACTTGGGATCGTACATATTTACCAGTTGAACTAACTATTTTTGTTATCTGTTACATCCGAAGTTGTTAAAGGCTCGAGGCGCACTTAGGAGCAAAAGGGTCCCGATGCCCAGGCGCGAGGCATAGGCGTGGGTCTCAGGAATGTGAGGCGCATCTTATAAAAAAAAGTACACACACACACAGAGTTATGCACAACTCAAATATGTAGCAAGTACTCCAACGCAGCAACCAGCAGTACTTCAATAGAGGCAGAAGGGAGAAGGGTTTAAAGCGCGAACCATGAGGGAGAAGTTTTAAGGTCTGGGAATTATAGAGAAAGGTGCATGAAGTTATAAGAACTGGGTATTTGATGTTAAGGTTTGACTTATATCATCTACTTAGTAACTCATTTTTAAGAAGTCTAGAAGATAAGAAGATGATAAAACTTATTTAATATAGGGGTTTGACGTGGTATTTAGTAACTCTTTATGAGGCACGCCTAGGCCCACAAGGAGCCTTAGCCAAGGCACAGGGCCTTAGTGAGCCTCATGAATACGCCTAGCCTCGACTTTATAAAATCCCAAGACCTCGAGCCTTATGAGCCTCAGAGCCTAGGCGCGCCTCAAGCCCGCTTTTAACAACTATGGTTACATCGAGTCAGATATCAATGACCGTGGACATATCTATCTGTATTAAGAATTCTTGCTCAATTTAACATGTGCTCGTTATTAATCATCTGAGAGTGAAGAAGAAGCTATAGAATACCTCACGTAATTAGCAACAAATACAGGTTCAAGGTCACAACGAACATCCTTCAGTTCTGGAGACCATTTAGCTGTCAAAACTCCTGTTACAATCACATCATCTGCAGATAATTTACGAAGGATTACCCTCTTGCCATCATGAAGGAAGGAGGCTTTCAGAGAAATACAGAAATAAAAGAGCGGTTGTGCAAAAACATAATTTGCCATCACTCTATATAAATTAGAAGATCCATATTAGGTTGTCGTGTAAATCTGTGATAACACTAGGCCTCTTCAAAAATATGCTAGGATGAAAAAGCATGCCCAAATGCTGAAGGACAAACAAGAAACCAGATCTTTGCTAAGATATAGCTGAAGCATTTGCATATCATCATCTCTTATCTCTTAATTCTAGCTTACATACTTTCCTTTTGATGCAACTTAATATTAGTCTATGAATATGTTTTTAGGCATCATGAATATTTACAATTTACTTTTATTCGAGTCTTGTATTTTGCTAACTTCAAATCAGACTGATCCCACAGCATCAATTCCCCATGTTTTTCCGTTATATTTCATCCTTAAGTAAATGATTTGAGTCCTTTTTTTCTTATTCTTTTTCTTGTTTATGGAGCTAGGAATGTGAATAGGTTTGTTAAGGTGAATTTTTTGCCGAAAAGTGGGAATACGTTGAAACAGCTAATGGTGCAGCATATGACAGCAACAGCAGTTTGTCAAAGCAGAAAATCCGATTTTGGAAGGTTATTTTGAAATCCAAATGTGAAGAATGGAAGATATAGTACCAAAAAGAAAAAGGATTTACTTTTGGAAAACAAGGTCATGAATGAGAAGAGCATTTGTGGGTCTTAGCGTAAAAAATATATAATGTAAGGTTTGGTCATTAACTCTTGTACAAACAAATGGGTATTTACTCATCACCTAATTCTTGTATAAAAGGGGATCTTGAACTGCTGTTTGGCAGGGTGTTCGTTTTTAAAGTAAATTAGCTTAGTTCTAATAGTAGTTGTAGTTTAACTTATGCATTTAATTTACCCTTCAAAGTTCCCTTTAATTTCATAAAGTCCTTTTTAAGTTTATGTCCAGTTCTAATGTTTTGCTTCCATGTATTTGACTACTTAACGTTCCAGTAATAATAGGCCAAATTCGCTAGCTTGGGTGTGAGGTAAAGTTGAGTAAGAAATTGAATGGTTGTGGTGGAGTTTGCTACACTCGATTAGCTTACTCCAACTTCTCATCCATGGTTAATATTGATTTATATAACATCTCTTGACAACTTGATCACTAGTCAAAGTTTCAAAGTGTGTGGAACTCAGAAATGAGAACACATGACACATCAATTTGGGTGATATGAGAACTATACTAGAAAGAGTTGTCAAATAACCGAAGGACATAGCCCAGCGGTATTCAGTATCCAACCTTTCTAGAGGTCAAAGGTTCCGACCTCACCAAGGTGAGGCATGTGTATGAGTATCATTTGACATGTATAAATATTGTATACTTCAATAGGTAGTCTAACTATAAAGAAATCTGTATTCTCGTACGGCTTAAGAGATAATAGATTGTAAAATGACTAAGCTTCAAGTGTTGCAAACCCTTGTATACATGAATAAGGCATTCTTCTCGTCCAAAAATCAGTCTCCCTTTTCTCTCCCATATTTGGTGCAAACCCGAAGGGTTAGGGTTTGTCCAAATTTTTTACACAACTTTGAAACCATTAGCTGATTTCTCTTGTTCTTGAAGCAATGACTAGCACCATAATGTAGCATTGGCATTCCTGCGATTCGGTGATGTTCCTATGTTCGTGTGGATACCATTTGAGCATGGAAACATTGGAGCCTAAAGATTCAACATCAAAGGCAACCTTTGAAGCCGTTATATCACAAAGTTTGAAGCTTTATTTGATACTAATTTGCGTTCAACACTTCAACCGAACTATTTTCTTTGCATATGAATCCTTTATCCAGGATTCTGCTGCATGGATGGCTCTCAAAATCCCAACATAAACTTGAAAACAGAAAAGGAAAACATGAAGCATTGCTACTTATTAACATAACATATTGGCCGAGTAGATTATGAAACAACGAACTTGCCATAATGTGTACCTCCAGCTTTAACAATGTCAACGAGATCATCCTGCAAAATAACGGGAACTGAGCGTGGGATTGCCCCAACGCCTAAAACCTGAGTGCTTTCTTGGATTTTTATCTCCTGGTAATCATGACAAATTTTGCCGCCTTCTAGGAGCTGAAAACTGGTGCTTTCGCAGTAGGGTTTCTGGTAGTGAATATACATATAGTCAACAACTAGAATAACATCCACAAAAATTGAACACATAAAGCATGAAAATTATAAATTTATAGCATAAAGATAACATGGTATTAAAGAAACAAAATATGACTAACAAAACCGAAACAATTAATCAGAGCCTGAACTGTATATTTTAGGTGCTTTGGTCCACTTTCTTAGTTATTTCATTTCTTCTTTCAAACTTAAATTAACTTAATTTAAACATGTTCCCATGTTCCTTCTTGTAACTTACCTTTTTTGGGTTATGTATTGTAGTGTGTACAATTCCTACTCACCTTATTATAGGTGGCAAGTTTGTCTAGAATTATTGAAACAAGGAAGATTAAATAATAACCTTGGAAGGGCAAGATATTGGCTTCGGTATGGAATTCCGGCTTTCCAGTTCAGGATGAACTTTAAACCTGCACATCAACTTCTCCTGTTAGTAGTTCAAGGCTAAAAATTGTCTACTAAACAGTAGACCCCATTAAAAGTACTAGTATTCTGATACATCAAAGTTTCTAAGATGGGATGGGGATCTAATAACAAAAACGATAAAAAAACGACAGGGCAACAAAATCATGTTCTTTTATCATATATTGCAAAACGAGTAGGTATAAATAAAAAAAATCAAGGATTTCATATAGATTCAATGATTATGAATCAATAATCTCATGTTTTAACTTAAAGAAGATATAACAGAATATTAGGGATTAGGCTTGACCCAATAATTCATATAGACAATGATGACATAAAGCAATGTTAACTTGAGCCAAGGATTACTTTGACTTTTTTAAAGGTTTTCTTTCTTGCCTTAAGAAAATATTGCAGAAAACTTGAGGTGTGGAGTTTACTGTCTATGCTAGAAATCAATATTACATGATCCCTATTTCCTTTTAAGATATTTGAGAACAAACCCTGACACAATGATAAGAACACCATTTTAAGTGGCCAAACCTGCCAATCGAACTTACTGAGCCGAGCCTACCTTATTCAAGTTCATCCATAACAAAATTGGGTCCTCTCAGACAACACTGTTTTCTTGCAAATTTATGTTCAGGCTCAGCCCAAAAAGTATATTGAGCTTACAACCGAAATCAGTCGTAAATTTTAAGAGCCGATAATGAGCTGCTCTTTATAGATGCTAGTATGCTACTTTACTGGTAGAAAAGAATTTGAAAAATATAGGTACCTCTTCATGAAGACAAATACTCTTCACTTGACCCAAGGTGAACTATCATCCGAAATATAACTATGTTTTCTTCAAATCTACTTCTCTAGCTTTCAAGTTAGTCAACTACAAGCTACCTTTTGCTAAACAACTCAAGAAATTGAAGAAATATCCATATCAAGCCAAAAAAGGAACAAAAAGGACTGTTTATGTTGTATATAGAGCATACTATACATAACAAATGGATGTCTAAAGACCTGGTTTCACCAGGACTTGTAAATATTCAGTATGAGTTGCAACTTCTACAGTCTACATCATGCAAAAATATATTTAGCTAAAAGCACATACAAGATCAAGCGAACCGAGTGTATGCAATCATTAACTATGTTGAATATCCATCAAACAAATCCTAATGTTTACAGATTCGATAAGAACGTATACCAGGATAAGACTAGAACTTTGTATCATGTTTAAAGATAATAGTGTTTTATAATTCATTAAATATGAAAAAGAACAGTCCAGTGAAAAGCAACCTGTGTTTACATTTCCGACATTCGTATTCCCTCTCCCCGTCTATCATCTTAATTGATCCAGACCTAATTACCGTTCCCTTCAGAGTGAGAAGAATGCCACGATGCTTCACACGAACACGTCCAATGCTCGGACATAACTCTACATAATCCAAGTACATCTCAGTTACTCCTCAAGTTCTAAAATTAAAGAGTACTTTGCAAAAGGAATTTTGTTCGTATATAAGACTCCCATTTGGGGTAAAATGACCAAGCCTCCTCGAGGTTACCATTCAAAATTACATGTATTCTAGATATCAGAAACAATTCAAAAGTGGACTCTAACTTAGAATGGAGAAATAGAAAGGTCAAAATAAAGAGAAAATTCAATGTGAAAAGTAATTGTACCAGGATTATCAAGCATGGGACCGTGGATTTCAATCCGAACATGCACAAATTCCTTAATACTTGGAGGTGGACGCTCCAAATCTTCCTTCTGACGTTCATGCTCCCAAACTTTCTTAGCCTGTCCAAACATGATCTCCTGAATCCCAAAAACATAGCAGCATCAGAATTCGCAATTAAATAAGAAATGAAGAATCATGAAACACATTGCACAAATACATTTACAGAAGCCCTAATATGATGAAAATTTTACGAAGTCTAACCCTGTTTGACCTTTCCTAACCGTTAAATGAGATATTCAACTAAACTCCAATGTTCATGCATATATCCCAACGGCTATGTTCTAAGAGCATAACAAGGCCCTGATCAGATGAAATCAAATTCTTTACGACATTCCTTAACACAATGATGAATGGCAGAGTAAAAGATACCGAAATACATATGCAAAAGCTACAATAGTAGATTCTAGAGAACAATAATAAAGAACCTGAGCCAATTTGGCAGATTCATCGAATATACGCAAGTACTTGGTCGGTTCGAAAAGGATCTCATGGGAAAGTGGAGAATCGTGCTCCAACACTTCAGCAAAGCTGTTAAGAAAAGACATAGATACATCAAGTCAGCTTTGTCATCAACTGAATCCATGAGGAAGAAAAGTTATTTGAAAACTGTAGGGTACAGATAAGACGGTAGTTTCTTTTGGAATACATACTCCACATAGAGGGGATAGTGAAGACGAAGATCGGAGGAGAGGAGGATGGAGTGAAGCTGATCGGAGTAATATTCCGTCAAGAAATCCGTCAGAATTTTCTCTGGCCGGTTGTCGTACAACTCCATCTCAATTCCACCGGTGGACTGACCAAGGGTGAAAGGGATTTATATGGTTTTGGCGGGAAAGAGTCGAGTAAAGATTCTTTTCTACTAAAAAAAAAATAGGTTTTATGTAAATACCGTAAACCACGGTTAAAATGAGAATTTGTTAGGACTAAATTTCAGTATTAATTGTATTCATTTTGAAAGATAAATATTGTCTATAATCATTTTAAAATCATTATGTTTGACTTTTCTTTTAGTTTGACTTTGAATTTGAAGGGTTCAAGTTTGACCTTATAAATAGTTTGTCTTGGTGTTTTTTGTAGTACGAGCTCAATTGTAAAACATCAAGTAAAGAAATTGATCTTGACTTGTTGACTATTTCTCTCATCTCCTTCTATAGTGTTCTTAAAGTTTCTACTAATCTACCATGGATTCTTGAGATAGATTGAAAATTGATCATCATAGTGGACTTTCAGAATTTAATTGAAAATGGCTAAAACATGAATTTGGTTGAGAAAATTGACTATTTCCTTGCTTATTTTGTATCGGAACAAACATTTATCAAGCAATTTGTCGAGATCATTTGCCAACAGAAACTATAATTTGGTAAGAATCTAGTCTGACTCAAGATTGATTATTCTGAAAGTAAAAATCTCTCCCTTAACTTACCACATCAACATCATGATCTGGTAAGAAGGGTTTGATAGCATAACTCAGATAAACATCTCTTACTCGATCTCGAACTTTTTTTCCGAAGTAGTCTCCACAAACTAGGTTGCGCTTTGAAACTTTGCATAAATATTCCCTTTGACATAAATAGAAGAATGTCCACTCAATTGATGTTGTGTTTTTGTTGTTATAACAAGGTCACTTTGCCATTCACCATATTTCGTGGCACGTTTAATTCATTTATAACCAAATTTACATGTCTTTTAATAAAAGTGATATTTCAAGACAACTTGCATGAATTATTCATCATGTTATGACTAAGACATGTGAACGACATTTACATATGAGTTAGTCGACGAATACAAGATAAACCATCCGTATCATAAATGAAAGGACGTCTAAATGGAAGGGAAAAAAGTGTGTTTGGTAAATGAAACAAAATAAAATTGGATCAAACAATGCCTCATATCTGATACGACATAAACTTGAGACAAAACTAAGGGGTCGTTTACCAAACGCTTACCCGGGTAAGCACTTACTAAGTCACATTACCTTACGGGATGAATATGGTAAGGACCAAGAATCTTACCCGGTAAGAGGGAGACAAGGACCGAGAGTCTTACCCGGTAAGTGAGGGAGACGACTCTTACCATGGTAAGCGCTTGCTGGGTAAACTGTTGCATACGATGTTGTTTTGGTGGACTAAAGTCTTACCTGGTATGTAAGTGGTAGTGTTAAATATTACCGATAAATGCTTACCGAAATGAGGGTAAAATACCATCATAATTGAGTTTTAAGACAAAAATGTGGATATAAACTAAAGATTTTGCAACGGAAATATGGTATGTAGCCAGATTATGCACATACAAACTTACAACTCCTCTAAACCACTTCCCTTTCTATGCTCTACAAGTATACATATATAGTTATCATTTCGTATGCATTCCTGCTATCTTCACCCTCTATTAACAAAATTTTATATACTTCCTTCCTTCCCTTCACCTGCTCGCACTCTGGTTACTGGGGCCCGTTCCGTAATCGTCCTCATCCCTGTACCGTCGATCATCTCGTGAAGGTAGTTTTAATCGCTCAAAGATTTCATCCAGAGATTCAGAAGATGATTCTTGTGTGGCTTGTGTATCTTGCGACTGACGCAACGGCATGAATCTCTTGGCCGCCATGTTGGTCCTCAAGTTTTGGAAATTCGTTTTCATCGACACCCAGGTTGACGATATCTTAGACGGCTGTCCATTTTCCATATTAGGCCGAGTGTCTGTGTGAAGAGAAGCATTTGATGTGGTCGTATTTATGTCTGAGCTCTTCAATGCTTTGTATTTTCTGTTGATATTCTCCTTGTTACTGCTATCGTGGGGATCTGTTTTCCATCGTTCTGACCCCCTCTTACCATCTTCGATTGAAAGAGTTGGTTTTGAATCGGCACCAACCTAAAAACCGAAGGGTTATGTAAAACTTCATAACTAAATAAATAAAAGGAGGAAACTAGAGGTAATCTAAGAGCATAACCGTTTTGCCAAATATGAATTAAGCCATTTCGATTGCACGTGATGGTAATCTAAGAGCATCTCCAACAGATTCTCTATAGAGAATCAAAAGTTAAAAATCTCTAAAAAGAATTACATTCAACTCCAACAGATTATCTATTTTAGTTATATTATTAAAATATTTTATAATTTTATCATTCCAATACACATTTTTTTAAAATTTTACATAAAATAATAATTCAATTTCATTGGTGAGAATGAATAAGAAACCATTTCTGTCCCCTACCATCAAGTTTTTGAAAATTCTCAAACTCGGAGTTTTCTCTTGTTTTCTCTATTTTAGAGAACGATATAGAAAATCTCCTCAGAGCAAAATGGAGAATAAAACCTCCATTTTCTCTATTTTAGAGTATCTGTTGGAGATGTTTTAACGAGTCTAGATAAATAATACAATAAAGGAGAATTAAAAATTATTAGCAATAGTGCAGAAAACATAAGTTGGAGAAAATTATTTATTAACTATGCATATAGTTGTTCAGACAATCAAAAAAGCTACAGTCGTGATTAGCGTATCAGTCGCTGGATAATTAGTAGAATGGCTATGGGAAAAACAGGTTCCAAAACAGCTTAACCATACACAAAATGGTCTAACTCAGTCATTTCTAATACCCTAACTGATTCAATAAAAAAAGAACTAATGAGACCAGTCAATATGGGGTATTGCAGTTCACAATGATGGAGCTGCAATTTCCGGGTGGTTTTAACTTGGCAAAGTGAACTTATTGCCACTCATGATGATGAAGACAATAGTCATATTTGAGGAATATGACATCGCTTTGGAACCACGAGGGTTTCTAAAATGAAGGAAAAATTGAACTCGGGAAACGTACAACATATCATCTTTAAGAATATAAAGTAAAAACATCTTGCTAAGTGTTAAAAATCAGGGAGGTGCCATTTCTAAGATAATACTCAAATAGTAGGAACCAGACACAAGTATTTTATCAGTAGAGTGGAGACCCTATTTTGTACCCATTTAATTGACACTGGTATTGGTGAGAGAACAGATTAAACTAGATAGATAACTTGGTTCCTATTACTATGGAAACAAATTAACCAACCATTTTACGCGTTTTCATGAATACTCCATTAAATTGGTGGTGATATAACCATGATAATATTGAAGCATCAACTAGAAATCACTTACCATGTTATTGCTTCCAGATTCGATATCCATAGTCGCATCACTAAAATATCTTGCTAGGGGAATAACAAGTTCACCAACCTTATGTCCTTTCCCGATGGAAGAGCGTTCTAAGGACAAAAGATGATGGGATTTAGAATTATTTGTGCAAAAATATCAAGCAAGTAAGAGCATGGTTTGAGGAATGCAGCACCCAGGAGAAGAATAGAACTTACCTTTCTGCAAAATCATCAATCCTGATGGATCAAACCCATCAAGGTCATCGGCTTCATTTCTCAACCTGAATATCTTCCAGTTCCCGAAGTAACTCATAATTCGGTCAAAAAAATTGCTTGCTACCATTAGGGTATATACAACCATAATAAGTGGATAGATCTTGTTAAAGTTTTGCCCGAAAAAGGGGACTGCATCATCAATTTTCCCCATTCTCTGTAAGTATGTTACTGACAAAGATTAGTCAACACTGAACAGTTCATAAATTGTAGCATAAATGACAAACAAAAAAGGAGAGCAGCGGATATTGCCGTTATAACCCAAATTTATTTTAAAGAGAATTTACAAATAAATGAGGCCAATATTTGACATCTCCGATTCTCTGGACTCAGCTTTCCTATTATCTCTTGAATGTTCATTAAATGAAAATACGGCACTTGCAAAGGCAGAGAAAATACCTCTTATTGTGACAAATCGAGTTTAAGAAACCCATTTTTCTCGACAAAAAAAAGCTAAAATCATATCAATCATCAATCATAAAAGAATCTGAAACTACACATATGCTGAAGCAGTCTTGCATAAATCACTAATGAGAAGGCGGACAAAGCAAAGAAACATGATAAGAAATAATCATCTATCATATTTGAGGAAGATCAATAGTGCAGAGTCAATTCCCAATCTAATAGGATTCTAAATTATAATCATACAGTGTTCATAAAAGACTTACCGCTGGATCTATTCCTTAAATATAATATTACCATATCTTAGAAATTTACAAGTGAATATCTCGGAAGGTGGTGCTATGGTTGTTCAATGAGATATACAAAGCAATATATACGATACTGACTTTAAAGAAACAGACACCAGATGACAGCGGCCTTGCAGCTAGAAGAGAGTGCCCTCCTGGCCCCCCGCTCCAGCTAAGACCTTAACACAAAACTTATCCCATCAAAATTGATGCAAGAAAGCATATGCCTAAAAGGCTAACAATCACTTGCGAATTCTAGAATTCTAAGAAAAGATCCAAACGCATTTCCAATGGAGAATTCAACATAAAGAAGAGAATGACACAAACACTGTTGCTTTTGGATGTCTAGCTTCTTTATATCAAACATGATCATTAGAATTTTCTCTGTCAAAAGGTTATGCTAGCTTCACACAAATATCAAATATGAACTGGTAAAATCGTTACTTTCACATTCCGAACAAACAGCACAAACTAGGGTCCAGGTTCAGAGCAAACGCATGCAATGCATGGAGATTTTCTTTGGGTAGACTGCTCAATGTTGATTGAGAGACCTGCTTTGACTAAAGTAAATTACATCAGGGAAATGGTTTGCATGATCGATATAGTAAATTAGGAGGATGAACTGCAAGTACTTGTTTTTGTTCCCTGCAAGGCATTTATAGTATTTGATCCAGAGATTCTTGTCCAACTATGAACTTTCATTTAGATTGCAGATGCAATTAAAAAGAGATTGCAGATTAAAGTCTAACCCATTCAAAGACAGTCTGGGCATCTCGTGGAAGACGAATAAGATTTAGAAAATTATATGAGATTGGGGGTGCGTATCGTGCCACCTGCCTGGTAGAGATTTTAACATCAATATGTCATTTACATCACTGCAATGAATATATTTCAAACGAGACTTGGTTGAATATTGAACACTAAAAACACTTACGAGCATATCATCAGCAGGCTGACTGAACTTGTTTGACTTGGAGTAAGTGAGTAGAATGTCAACCTTCCAATTTTGAACAATGAATAGTAAGTGCAAACACACATATACATCAGGGGGATGAAAGCAACAACCTGAAAATAGGTGGAAAAGAATAATATCAGTCTCAAAGATAGAGGAAAGGAGAAGAAAACAACGGATCTACTCCCATGCATACGAAATCAATAAAATACTTCCTACCTTCGGCTTACTGCAAACCCTTTCTCATCTTAGGTGCCATTTACTAAATACTTACCTTGGTAAGCGCTTACTGGTGCAATTACCTTATTGGGTCAACATAACAAGGACCGAGAATCTTACCCGGTAAGAGAGAAGACTAGGATCAAGAGTCTTACCCGGTAAGTGAGGGGGTGACTCTTACCCGATAAGCGCTTATGGGGTTTAAGACGCTTACCAACAATCCATTTTGATGACCGAGAATGTTAATAAGGTAAGTGAGGGTGATGTCTCATGCCGATAAGTGCTTACCGGGTAAGCATACGGTAAACGGCCCCTTAGTCTTCCTAGAGCAAAATGTTTTCTTTTATATACTACCCCTTCGTCCTAAAAAGGCATCCTTCCACTAGGCACATAGTTTAATGAGAATATTTGATTTTTGATCAAATATCTAATATGCCCCTCAGCGAATGACAATTGAGGAATCTTGTGAACATAACCAATGTTACTAGCATTTGCAAACAAGTAGATATGGAGAGAAATTTACCCGAAAGAGAAATGTTCATTTAGTTCACAGCAAGTCAAAAAAAATGTTTAATTTATTTTGGGATGAAGGGAAGTGAAAAAATAGTTCACCGAGATTTAAATTGTTTCAAATTACCAAGCATACAGGTGTTTGGACACACACAGGTTCTGCATGCCCGAACACTTGAGGAAAGAGAGAGAAGTTACCTGCACAAGCACTCCACTAGTTTGAACTGCATTAATTATAATAGAAAAAAGAGAGAAGTCAACTCCACTAGGCAGTATAGTGGCTTCTGCTAGAAGAATTGCAACAGTCAAGCAACCCAGTATGATAGCCGAAAGCTTTTTGAGTTGCTTCTTCAGGATACACCGCCATACGAGCTCTACAAATTAATCCATAACCAAGATTTTATGAATTATGAAGAGCATCAGAAAACCATCCTAGATGTATTGAGATAAATCTTATAAATGCACATCACATCAAACTGATATATATATATATATATATATATATATATATAGAGAGAGAGAGAGAGAGGGAGGTTCAAGGGAAAACCTACAAAAATGAAAAACTGAGGAACACCCTGGTACCCATTCATCTGGACAGTATGCACATGTACATACAAGTAATTTGGAAGCAATTTGTCCGGTATGCACACGTGCATAAAACCAGAAACAGTTATTAATTGCTTCCAAATTACTTGTATGCACATGTGCATACCGTCCAAACGAACAGACACTAGCGTGTTCCTCATTTTTTCATTTTTTTTTTGCGGTTTTCCACTGAACCTGACCCTATATATATACCCCAAGCATTTTTTAAAGACCTCATCTCATATAATGGACAAAATGAAAATCATAAATGCAACTTACATAAGAAAGCAATTCGACATATTAAAATATGGATTACATTCTACACTAAAACGCCAAGAAAAAGATAGAATCAAAAAGTAAATTAGTTTCTGTAGGTAGTCATGTGCAATGGGCAATAAAGCAAAGGGAGCAAAACCATGTAAGCAGTCAACCGAAGGACCCCTCTGCTCAGACACTTAAAAGTACACAAGAAAAGAACAGCACAAATACTACAAAGAAGACTTGTGTATAGTGATTTAAGGGATAGTGAAAAAGAATAAAACATTAAGTACATGCTTCAAACACCAGGGTCTACAATTTTAACTCCCACTTTTATCTCTCTTAATATGGCCCCATTAAATATCCGATAATCCTTTATCCATAATCTTCCTCCTTCAAGATTCTGTTTATGCTGATCAATTATGTATAGCACAGAACTATAACGAAAGTGTTCTTCATGAAAAACCAGAAGAAAGTTCATATTTGATATAAAAAATATGGAAATATATCAAAATTTGGAAAAAGAAAAGATTACCAATCGTATCAAGACAAGATCCTATCTTCCCTGAACGCTCAGGCCTGAAGCTTGAAATATATTTCCTGCAGGTTAAACAAAGTGGAATAATGGTTAATTTTTTTGGGAATAATCTGTTCAAATAACAAATTGCAGATTAGCCCCTGCATAAAGGTTCTTTTACAAGTTTGGTCCACAACATAAACAAAGTTATCATCTTACACTTAATAAATAATCTGAAGTCTTGCAAACATTGTACAAAGTGTGACATGACATTTCTTTTTTGTTGATTAACAACTTCAAAATCAGTGGTGGATCAAGAATGACTATCAAGTGACTTACCATTCCAAAAAAATATAGCTAGGAAACGAATTTGTGTAATTTGCTCAAGCACCTTTATTTTTTATCACAAACTTACTCTGTATGATGTACTAAAAGATGGAATGAAATTATATATTTTCCCAAAAAAATCAACCATATAAATCTTGAATCAATTTTCCATGATGTCTCAAAACTGTAAATGTAAAAAAGAACATTTTATCATTTTTCACCAGCCAAAATCTCTAGAAATTTCTTTAATTCTCATAAATTTTAATCAGTGCAAATCCTTGAGAAAATTACAAGCACAAATTTCAGTTTAATCAACTCATTATCTATGCAAATCTTGAACATAATGATCAAACTAAACCCTGTATATCCCAACCGGATGTAGGGTCTGCGAGGGGTAAGATGTAAGCAGAGTGTCGCAGACCTTCCCTCTGTATCAAGATACAGAGAGACTGTTTCCGAGAAGGCATGTGAAAAAACTTTAGTAAAAGTTTCAGAAAGCACTACTATAATTTTTTTGAAGACAGAATTATAAAAGAGAGCAAATAGATCTACAAAGAAAATTAAAAATTATCAAATAACATCATATTAATCAAATAATCAACTTTGAAGTTTGAAGTAAGCAAATTCTTGATGAGAGTTGTATTGTACTCCTTCCCTTGAGTGTCATATACTTTGTGCCTTGTTCATAAAATTGATTAAAGAATTATTTAGGTTAAAAAAATAAAATAAAAATATTTGGATAACTACATTAGCTATCAAAAAATGCATGGAGACATAAGCATCTAAGGTTAGAAACTCAAGTTAAATTTGAAAACAACCTTATAATTTACAATAGTGCATTGGTCAACAAAGCCAACTTATTTCAAAAATAAGGACAAGAAGGGACCAACCATGAACTTGAACACATAACATAACACTCAAGTACTTCACCTCAACCTACTAACTTGGGCATCTTCTTAAAGAAGCATTTACATAATAAATTAGAAAATAGAAACTCCAGGGTAGGTCCAGAGTGTACCCTTAACCCTTGTATCTTAACAGGACCGACCCTGATCAAATTAAGCATTCTGAGATTATCACATGCATTGAAGAATCTTATGTTAGAACTTCATACACATCCTTATAATCAAATTATGATGCGCCTCCTGTTAGACTAAGTCAACTAGTCTAGTTTATATTATTAATATTGTCTAGGGTCCAAAGTGTAATTAGTTTTACCTATATAARGTGTATCAGATTATTATTATTTTTCAATCAATACAAATCAATATCAAGTTTAATACCTCCTACTTAATTCAGTTGCTAGGAAGTAAAGAGATGAAGGCATGATAATTTAACCATGAATTGATTTTGGACCATTGACGCAAACCCTATGAAATATGGATGCCAAAAAACGTCATGTTTTTTGTTAGGCATGAAAGGGGTCTATGATTTATGTTATCTAGATCTACTTTAAAGAGATTAATGTTGTCATTTAAGATATCAATATGTCATATTTGTTAAGTATATCCCTTCTTACTCAACCACTTCATATTTCATAATTCACCATCTCAAACTTTTCTTCAGCATTAATTATCATGCAACATGTTATTACCAGCACATGGCAATTTAAAATTCCATTAGCATCTTGATGCTTCAATAAATATGACTAAAAAGCAATACAATAACACAATCTCCATACACCTCCACATATATAGGTGCACAAGATTTTATATGGTCAATGTCACCACACTACACTGAGCGTCAATAGCATAGATGAAAATATATGAACATGTAAATTCAATATGTATGGTCCATGGAACTATTATATCTTAGTGGTTCACTAAATAAATAGGAGATAACAAACAGGAAATCAGTGGATCTTCATAATAAACTTGGAGACCAACAATTTAATTCTACCAGTTTTACACCATGCACCATACATAAAGCATCATACAGAACAATAAACAAAGCCTGGCCACATCACAAAGTGACAATAATTCCCATAGCGACTCATGGGAGGAAACCCCATGATAGAAGAAAAAAGAGAGGCATGGATCATTCCTACAATGTGAAAGCATATTTAGATGAAGAGAGACTCGATGAGAAGAATAACAAGCCTGGATTGAGAGCAAACCATCCAGTAGCATTACGACGCTCATAGTTCTTTAGAGTGTCCTCCAGCTCAAGAGCTTCCATCACAAAATTCATATATTCACTGATCAACAAGGAAAAACATGAATGATTAAGCAAACAATGAAACAAAGAACTAAACATGTCACTTCAATTTGTGATAGTAAATGGTTGTGAAAGGATGAAGTGATGGTATATGTAATATTAAGTCCCATGACATGAAACAGGTGCTTCCATCTTGGTGAATCAACAAATAGTAACGTTGAAACCTTGACTAAATAGTATTTGGTCTACCATACGGAACCTAGAAAAGAGCCCACTAAATAAGGTGCAAACTTAACCTATGGAGCTAATCCATTGTTATACCCTGGAAATGTGGTCAAATAAGTATAAAAGGTAGGCTGGGTTGAAAAAGTCAAACAGGTCGTATAATGTGGGAGAACTGTACAAGTAGCCACTGCAGTGATACAAGTAGGTTAAGCAAAGTGGAGAATCAGAGACCATGGCAGCTGGCGGGGAGAAGCCAATGAGACACATAGACGGAGTTTCAAAAAAAAAAAAGAGAACCAGAAGCAAGAGCATATCTGCGCTCTAAGCTAGTCAGCTTTGTGCTCAGAAAAGTAGGAAAGAAAATGTAAAGCGTCATTCAAAATCTTCTAGAAAAATGGTTCAGTTCTGGTTTTGGTTGGTTTTAAGCAGTTTGGAATGGAAGCTAACCAAGAACCAGTTTTCCAAAAATTCTAGAGCTGAATCGCACCAAACATACTTGGTCCCTGTCCTGACACCATGAAAAGTAATCGTTTGAGAGACATGATAGGAAGTGAAGATGCAGAGAGGAGGAAATGAAGTCTACCAGAGCCAGACCTAGACCCTAATGTTAATTGGTCACTGTTTTTTTCTTATTTGTGTAGTATATTGGTTAAAAAGAAACTTAATGGCCTCTGAATTCTTTTAAACTAAAAGACCCAGGACAGTCTACTTTTTTATTTAGCCAAAAATCAACTTGCATCTCCTGCTTCAACAATTTTTTGTCTCACGTATGCACCAGAGAGCCCAAGTGAGATGCCTCATTGAAGCTGCTAGCCTCAGCCAAAGCAAGACACAAAGTTGCACCTTCATGGGCCTAAGGGCCTCACCCGTAGACCCATCTCTAGGCATGCCTTGCAAGTTGCAAAACTCTATTAACACAATAAAATTAAAAAAGCAAGGTTTAGGCTGACATCCAAACAAATGTTCTGAACATGAAAATGCCTCAATGGCAGGTGATAATTGACAAGATAGAAGTCCATCCTAACAAACATAACAACTTACTGAGATAGTACGATAATGCACAATAGATTTCTCATCAGTGACATAATCCATATCATTGACAAGATAGAACTCTTTAACACTTGCTTCCACAAATATAACTCCTTTTGATGCTTACCTTCTACAACGGTAGTACTCGCCTTTAGCTATTTTGAGTTGGCGTCTTAGTGTTGCCATAGATTTCTCATCAGTGTCATAATCCATATCATTTTCCCCTAACCTTCCCCCTTGGGGTTTGAAAGAGGGATCTTCATTAAGCTGGACAAAAGATATTAATATCAATGTGTCTTGTAGCTCCAAAATAAGAAAGTGAAACAAATAGCATAATATATTTAAAGCCGCACAGATATACAAAGAAGATTTACCATATTGGTCAACATTTTATCGATGATATTCATATAGGGTCTCAAGGGATCACGTTTTGACATTTGCTTCGATGTTGCTTGGGCAACCTAATGCAATAAATCATTATATGTTAGAGGAAGAGCAAAAAAAATTACACAGTTTTAGTCATATAACATTCATATCAGCATCATTTACAAAAAAATGTCCATCAGTAAAGAAAATGGTAACAACTAAATTAAGGCATATCTCATCTAACTTCAATACAAATCACCAAGGGAGAGAACAGAATGAAATCATGACATGGTATTGTTTATGGGAAAAATATTCTCTTTCTAATTTCCTATAAAATTACTCGAGTCCTAGGATAAACCAACATTTGGCTCTTAAGTAGCATCACTACTCACTAGTATGTATACTCTCTAACAAGCACATCACTGAAGTCCAATAACAAAATATTTGATGCATCGATTTCTTCCTATTCTAGGAAAAAAAGTCTAGTTTCAGCCTATCCAGATACAAAATATTGGAAATTACCACAACCAAGAGGCTGAATATGATGACCAGGACTGGGGACATAAGAAACAAATGAACCTTATTAAATGTAGATGCATTTAATTAAGTCGTTTTGCAATGATAAAAAGAGCCACAAAATGATTACAGAAAGAGACCGGTATACTACTCAAACAAGAGCAACAGTACTCTCACAAATCCACCCTTCAACTAATTTATGCTAGTTGTAAAAACATGTAAGACACGCTCTATAGTTGTCCTTTTATTGTATTATAACATGTATTCATCATTAAAAATACCAGAAGAGAGTTATACAGAGATGACTAGTATCGGTAATATCATGAGTGTCAGAGTATTACTTGAAAGAAGCCCAATCAACAATGTAAACAGTGACACTTACAACTATAGCATTTGACAAGTTTTGATGAGCATCGTCAAGTTGTAAAGCCGCCCTAGCCACTTTATGGGACAGCACCTTTTGGCGTGTGATGTAGTCAGCATTAATCCAAATGCCCTTTGGAATTTCACTTAAACCAAAGCCAAGGAGAAATGCACCGGTCACGAGTCCAAATGTATTAGAACAAGCCATGGCAAATCCAATTATACCGCCTCTCCTGTCAACCATTTGAGAATCAGAATAAGGAAGGAAAAGTTTCACGCAATTAAGGAGCTAAAGTAAGTAAACTGGAATCCTAGTTCTGATTTTAGAGAAATGTAAAGTTTTGAGAATACTATAGGGATGCCATGCATACCATAAAGTTTAACAGGACAGTAAGATAGTCATATACTTGATCATGGTAACACTAAATGCATAATCTTTCACAAGATCAATTAAAGGAACAAACTATATAGAAGAAACACACATAACTATTGGCATACAAATGAAAATTTTTGTCTCAAAACAATTAAAAAAACAGATAATATTATATATTCTATCAAATAAATATATCTGATGTGAATTGATAGCATGACTTCACATCTTCCTTTTTGCTTTCCGTAACCACTAAAGAGTAATGCAATCCATCTTTTCAATATAAACTGTAAAGCCCACAAGGAAAGAAGCTTGCATGATTACATCTAAAGAAGATGTTTCATTGTTTATTGATGAACTTAACCATTCACATTGGAAAACAAAACAAAGAAAACTCAACCAGCCGTACTTAAAAGGTCTACATCGTCTACGCATGTAAACCAGGATTTACAACAAAATAAAAGATTGTCATCAAATAAGTAAGGGTATTAAGATACAAACCAGTTATGGTGCATTAAGATAAGCAGGATAAGTCCAAAGAGTGCAACAGAGCCAACAAGCAGGTAGAACACTAGATTCACATGTAAACTCGTCTTTAATCTTTCCGTCACCGTGAAATCCCCAGCATCTTCGTAACCCTGAAGGATAGGTACCACAGCCCTGCTTAGAAAAATTGTTCAATATAGATTTATGAGAATAGGATATGCATCTAGAAGCCCATATGGTATGGAGCTATGGAAGATATAACCATCAAGAAAGCTTAAAAGGTAGCAACAATGGCAAAAGAAAGCTTGTACAGTTGCAGAATATGAAGGACATGCCTCAATTAAATGGTACACAATAACAAAAGGTAACGAAATTATAATAGACTGGTTATCCTTTTTTTGATGTGATTTCATGTTATGGTGATCGTTAGTACAAAGACAAAAATTATGACCAAAACTTATGTTAAAGAAAGTGCAGACACAAAAGCAGGATTTAAAAATGAAAGTGATAACATAGTATGGAAATAACATACATTATTTCGTCCTCAATGTGCTCTCCTTGATATAGCCAAAAGATGTGATATAGGTGAATTACATCTCAATAACAAGAACAAGTGCTTCTAAGGACTTGAGATGTGAGATTCGGGTTACCTTTCCTTTTTGGGACATTTGAGGTTAGATAACCATCAACTAAATTCATTCCATTTTCACCATCACTGGTTCAGAGATGGGACCTTTTTTATGTTGACTTTTGATGGTTAGACTGAAGGATATGGAGACTACATTACCTGGAATCGTTTTTATGTGTGCTTTTTGACCATTTATTCAACTTCTTGTGAAGCCAGTGGAAGTATTAATCTAGGGGCTAGAAGTAAGAAGAGGATAAACGAAAGTACAAATATAAACATAAGGCATACCAAGTAAGTAAAAATGTACTCCAATATGACCAGCTCCAAAAGAAAGACATGCCTCCCCTGTTTTGATCACTCATAGCCTGCACACAGGAAGAAAAATATAGACAATTTAAAACAAGTAGTGTAAATTTATGACGGGGGCTTGTCAAACATCCATGTCATATGCATGCATATTGATTTATTCTTTGGGAGCTCATGCACATCTAATATGGAACATAACAAATCTATGAGCATGCCAACATGAAAATAAGAAAGTCGAGCAAACAAGAATGTTTCCTAGTCATGCAGATGGTCTACATATTTCCTACTTCATGACATCATTCTCAGGGTTGGACCTTGAGCATGCCTGATTGCATGTGTTTTTGACGCCCAGTAGTAAATCATAGCATCATCAAACTCATTAAAGAAAAACCCAACCCGTACGAGTTTTATCAAGAATACAATATGACTAAAACAAGGTAGTCGTACACACAAATAACTTCTAAAAACACTGCCGTCAATTGACCTTAAAAACCAACAGTTAATCCCCAACATGATCACATTATAACCATTAACGTGAATAGAATGACCCAACAACGAGATTTTTACCCCAGAGTAGGTGGATCAAGCAAGTAATAGAACCAAGATAGACTACAAAATGGTGCAACCAAAAAGCAAACAGGTGGTGACATAGCACAATGTTGTTGTTAATTGTGCAAGAAAGGTCCATATCAATTTCATATGCGAAGAAGTGCTAGGCTTGACATCAACAAATTGGAAGGTGAATTATTTTTCACCTAACCGATCACAGACCCGTTTCCAATAAGCTACAATTAGGGTTCTACATTCCTGATCCAACCAAAATGCTAAGCAAACTTTGAAATTATCATTCGTTTCAACAAACAGCAACACAAAACCGACATGCACTTGGCCATAAATCAAAATTCAAATAAATTAGAGATAAGAACGAAAACATACAGTCCAAATGTCGGCGGGGACGAGGATGATGAAGGAGAGAGAACAAAACCATGTGTAACCAACGGTGAAGAGAACGTAACGAGGTATGTCAGGTCCGGCAAAGTATCTTAACGTGAAGATCACCATCCCCATGGTCAAGGGTAAGGAAATCAGATAGAATACCCACATGATTCTTCTCGCCTTCTTCCTGTTGCAAAATTCACACAATTTGTTCAACGACACGTTGAAAAAGAAGAAGATCCTTCAATGGAGATTTGGTCAAGCGTCGTCAATAGGCGCTCCCGTCGGTTGCTCCTTCGTTTAGCTGCCTTCTTCCCCTGCCCAACAATTCTCATATACATACATATACAAAAGTAAAAGAAAATGTATTTTTATACAAAATAAAAAAGAGGTTTAATTTTTTTTTTTAAACATAATTATTTATTCTTTTCGTCTCAAAAAAAATTAAGGTTTTTTCTTTTTTATTCTCATAATTTAGGGACCGTTTACCAAACACTTATCTTGTAAGCGTTAACTAGTAAAATTTAACATTATCACTTATTTACCGGGTAAGACTTTTGTCCACCAAAACGGTATTGTATGCAACAATTTACCCGGTAAGCGTTTACCATGGTAAGAGCCGTCGCCCTCACTTACAGAGTAAGACTCTCGGTCTTTGTCTCCCTCTTACCGGGTAAGATTTTTGGTACTTATCATATTCATCTAGTAAGGTAATGTGACTTGGTAAGCGGTTACCTGGGTAAGCGTTTGGTAAACAGCCCCTTAATTGTTTTTTGAAAAAAAACTTCTATTAACCTTTTATGTCTGATTTGTTAAGAGGTAGAGTCATTCGAACTGTTTTTTTTTCCAATTTTTCAGAAGGATTTATATTTTATTGTCCTCTTATCTGGTAAGAGTCAACAAACCTCTTATTTGTCTCTTATTATTTTCGAAACTTTTAGCAACGACGTTTCTCAATCAATTAACTTTAATCGATCATTTCTTTCAAATGATCATTACCAAATCGATCATCATGTCTCTCAATTGGTGTATTTTAATAGGATTTAAATGTGTTAAATACCGTTTAAATGAATGCTAATAATATAATTTAAATATAACTTTTCATAACCGATGATGAATAAACATGTGAAATTGTATGAAGTTATCTATAAATTCAACATTGTAATTTTCTAAACGGGAAAATAGACAATTTAAACAAATTCAGACATTTATCAGTTTACAAAAACAAATGGTCTTGTTGATTCAGATTTCAGACTTCAGTACCACCTCTTATTAATTAGAAGTGAAATAAGACTTCAGACTTCAACACCGCTTAAAAAACATACGTCACCTTATTATAAAATATAAAATTTTATTTATTTATTATTAACATTATGCTCTTGAATTTGAAGTGAAAGAATTAAAAAAAAATAGAAGGAAAAGAAAAGGAGGGAGAAAACTGAAAGGAATTGAAGTTTTTTGTCTACGGGCTGTTTGGCAATTGCTGAATTGTTTGGTACAGAATGATTAAGAGGCTCTCATTATATAGTGCAAAACGAAATATAATTGTTTGCTAATTGTGTACAATGAAATTAGGGCTCTTAATGGTTAAGGGAGATACATGATACAAAATCATTCATAGGGTTTTAGAACCATTAAGAGACAAACTTTTTTTTGTCAAACAAAATTCGCATCTTAACGATTCAGATGTTGTCTCTTAATGAAACTATTAAGAGGTAAACAAATAACCCCTACGTTTTTTAAATGGAATGAAAAAAAAATTCATATTCTTGAGCAGAAAAAAAAAAGAAAAAAATATATTACTTTTACTAGTATACCTTTTAAAAATATATCATTTAGAATGAAAGATTAAATAGTTTTATAATTTTATAATTTTAATAAACTTTTAAATTATTTTAATTTATTTTATTTTCTTTCATTTTCTTTTCCTACATTTTGCAAAGAAAGTTTTGGGAGGAATTTTATCATTATTTTTTTCCATTTCCTTTCTGTTCTCTTCCAAAAGAGTTTCAAGAACACAAGTTTTTTTTCCTCTTTTTTTTTTTCCGTTTCCTTTCGTTCATAGAAAAAGTTTCGACAACACAACATAAGAGTAAAAATATCATTTATTTAATTAAAAATTATAATAACTACACATTTTTAAAACGGTGTTACATTTTTATTATTTTAAAACGGATGAAGTATAATTATTTAGACCATCAAAATATGGTAAAATGTAATAATTAAAATACTCATAAATACGACAAAATCTAAGATATTGTGTTTGTTTTTCCCAAATGTGGTATTTGATAAACCTTTTCAATTTTTAGAAATGTGGTTGTATTTATGGTACATAAAATAGTGTTTTTTTTTTTGGATAATCATGGGTTTATGGAACATCTTACATACACCGATTAAACCCTCGGGCGACCACGAATTGTCTGGAGTCATTGCAAATGGCTCATAGCCATAAGGGTTTGGCTGCGCTTGGATTTGAACCCAAAGTAGATGAGATTTTCCACTGTACCCCTCCAAAGGCTTAACTGTGTGCCACAACCCAAGTGGTTGGGAACAGCAAACGATGATGTAAAGGTTACGGGTAAAATGTTGATGTGGTAATAACATGACGGTGACGTGATGGTGGAATGATAAAAGATGTGAGTTGTTGTCATTCATGCCACCATATTCTCCATTACTATCAACAACAATAATTGACCACCATCAACCCGAATATATTCCATTATTTTTGCCAAATAAATGTTTTCGATCACTGTAATGATTAAAATCCACCTAAATTGATTATACATGACTTATCTGTTACCAAAAACAGAAGTTGGTATCAATGACATCCTTCTAAGTTGGCATCGACGATAAAGCAACAGGGCGATGCTTGTAGCATTGAATACATTAGCATTTGCATGTCAAATATCAATATTGAACGAGTCAAACACGGGATCTGCTCCCACGATTCCTACCGGCTAACTCTCCGAGATTCCAAGCATCACCTTAAACGGCTAAATAGCATGACCTAATAACACATAATTACTTATTTCCCTATAACACTCATATAAGCAACACCGTTGTAGGACGTCCTAGATGTCAATAGAGGAGCGATGATCTAATCTCACTTGTCACTGTTACCTATTTACATGGTTTGTGTCACCGATCATAACGTATTAATTACTTTCTCACACTTTTATTTCATGTCGTGTTTATTTTGTTTGATGCGTATTTGTTTATTTAATATATGAGACTTAAATCCGAAGTCTTCACTTAGTGATTTTAAGCAAAAAAAAAAACGGTTTTGCTCCATCGATTAGGACCAACAATTAGATCACTAATAGCTTATTTGTTCCTTAAACATAAACATTGCAAGTGAAACCTCCGTTCCACAAATTATGGTTACTCATGATGAAATTAACCCGAGTTTCACAAATGCAATATGTGATGGAGAGGATCCAAAAGGATAACTGACCCCTTATGGATGAGAGTTAGGGACTGCAAATGGAAATCACAAACACCAACTAGAACTACGATAGCCTATAAAGGCAACAAACTTCAATCATGTTAGAGAAACCACCTCAACCGGTTACCCCATAGTGACATGCCTTTAACATCGACTCTCGATACCCTAGATAAAACCATCGAGGGCACCCCTCATAACACCAGTGACCTGAGGTCTATTTTCCATAAGTAGAAGCATAAGCATCGATGCTCTTAGTCTACAACAAGGTTTCGTTTTGTACTTCCCCCTTTTTCTATATTTTTGTTTGAAAACGTGTTTTTGTTTTGAAAAAGCAACACACAAATTGGTTGAAGCAAACTCGTACCGATAAATCTTCTTGATATCTTTGGTGACGTGCCTTATGTGTTCGTGATAATGTAAGAGATAGAATCTCACTAATTGGAAGGAAAATGAGCGCTAGCCTTCGATGGCTTCCTTATGAAAACATCCATTTTTATTTGGGTATCGATGGTATCTGCTAAGAGCTTGCTCGAAGACAACCCTTTCTTTCCCTGACTCAGTTGCTTCTGGGTTGACAAGTTAAAAAAGGTAATGACGTAATTGCCCTCACGTTAAAGGAACTCAACGGAGCTAGTTAATGGTCGTTAAAGTCAGGCACCTAATCCGATACAAAATTGAAGTCACAAGGAAATATTTGTAAAATTTAAACTATAGTGGAGATACAACAAACGTAATTTAGACAAATTTCGTTGCATTTTATTGTATTTCAATTTTTTAGTTATGAAAAATAAGGAAAACAGGAAAACGAACGAGGATGGCATAAGAAGACATCTTTGCCCCTGAATCTAATTATGCCACAATGTATAACAAGGGACCAAATTGAAATGAAAATGGTAATTTTGGACTAAGAGTGAAAAGAAATTTTCAATAAGCTAAAAACATAGATTCACAAATACTTCAGGGACTGAATTTATAATTTACCATATTTATGCTGACCTACTGAGGTATATACAACCGTTGTCTTATCGGAGCTTATTCTCCCCCGTACTGTACTCGTAGTCGGTAGTGGAGACGTCCATGGAAACGACGGAATCCAGAGCCGACGCCTCCGACAACCCCAACAATGGCTCCTCCGGCGACGACAACACTTCTCTCGAAAACAACCATCCTCCTCCCCTCTTGCCTCCAACCTCTGCTCCTTCCCTTGTTGGTACGGAGTCGGACAACATATTTCCGGACTCAACCCTCCAAACCACCGGCGAATCAATTGAACTTCCGTTACCAGCTCCAGACAACGCCGACGCGGGTCTACCTGCACCACGAAAACGACGTCGTAGAAAGAAGCAATTCCCGGAGATGATATCCTCCGCCGCTGCCGTCAACGGTCTCCGCGTTATTCGCCACAAATCCGGTAACAGATCAGCGGAAGAAATAGACGGATACGGAGACGATGATCCGTCGCGTCGCCGGAGGATATCGTCGGATCTGGACGTTGAATCGCTAATTGCGATATCAGTCGGATTCCCTGTCGATTCTTTGACTGAAGAAGAGATTGAAGCTAACGTCGTCAAAACAATCGGCGGAACTGACCAATCGAACTACATCGTCGTTCGCAACCACATTCTCGCACGGTGGCGATCAAATGTTGACATTTGGATGACCAGAGACCATGCATTCGAGTCTATACGAGTCGAACATACTAACCTGGTCGACTCAGCATACTCGTTTCTGCTGGAACACGGTTACATCAACTTTGGCCTTGCCGCCGCCGTGAAGGAAGCCAAATTGAAGTCACCTGAGGGTTCTTCCAGAGGTGACGTCATCGTAATTGGCGCCGGACTCGCTGGACTGGTAGCGGCCAGACAATTGATCTTTCTAGGGTTTAAAGCGGTGATTCTAGAAGGCAGGACGAGGCCAGGCGGTCGTGTTCGCACGAAGAAAATGTCTGGTGGCGACTGCGTGGCCGCAGCAGACCTAGGCGGCAGCGTACTCACCGGAATCAATGGCAATCCACTGGGAGTTCTAGCGAGGCAACTAGGGTTTCCCCTTCACAAAGTAAGAGACATTTGCCCTCTTTACCTTCCCAATGGAAAAACTGTAAACCCTGAAATTGATTCAAAAGTTGAAGCATCATTCAATAAATTGCTAGATAGGGTTTGCAAGCTCAGGCAGTCGATGATGGAGGAAGCCAAATCCATTGATGTTCCATTAGGTACAGCTTTAGAAGCTTTCAGACAAGTTTACAGGGTTGCAGAGGACCCTCAAGAAAAAATGCTATTAGATTGGCACTTAGCAAATTTAGAATATGCAAATGCAACATTAATGTCAAATTTGTCAATGGTTTTCTGGGATCAAGATGATCCATTCGAGATGGGTGGTGATCATTGTTTCATCCCGGGAGGAAACGATAGGTTTATCAGAGCATTAGCTGAAAATCTGCCCATTTTTTACAATCGAACAGTAGAAAGTATAAGATATGGATCTGATGGGGTCTTAGTCTATGCTAATGGGAAAGAATATCATGCTGACATGGTTCTCTGCACAGTCCCGTTAGGCGTTCTCAAGAAAAGATCAATCGAATTTGTCCCAGATCTTCCTCAAAGGAAGAAGGATGCAATCGAGAGACTAGGCTTTGGGTTATTGAACAAAGTTGCACTCTTGTTTCCTTATGATTTCTGGGGAGGAGAGATCGACACGTTTGGGCATTTATCAGATAAATCGAGTATGAGAGGTGAATTCTTCTTGTTCTATAGCTATTCATCTGTATCAGGCGGGCCGCTTCTTGTGGCTCTGGTAGCAGGAGAAGCTGCAATACAGTTTGAACAGATGTCTCCCGTGGAATCCGTTAAGAAAGTTATGGAGATTCTGAAAGGGATCTTCAATCCGAAAGGCATTGCTGTTCCAGACCCACTTCAGGTTATATGCACTCGGTGGGGCCAAGATCAGTTCACTTACGGGTCTTACTCTTATGTTGGAATTGGTTCATCTGGAGATGATTATGACATACTTGCTGAAAGCATCGGAGATGGCAGGGTTTTCTTTGGTGGAGAAGCAACAAACAAACAGTATCCAGCAACAATGCATGGAGCTTTCCTTAGTGGGTTGAGAGAAGCTGCTAATATGCTAAGAGTTGACAAAAGGAGAAGGTCAAAGTCAAACAACACAAACAGGTCACTAACTTTCCCAGAAAAGTGAATCTGATCAAGAAATATGAGTTAGGAAACTGTTTGAAAACCCTGATTCTAGTTTTGGGAACCTCCGTGTTTTGACTGATCTGGGGTCAGTCAATCTTGAATCCAGTTTCTTTGTTACGAGTTGGATTCAAATGGAAATAACTTAGATGCTAAGAGGATGACAATCAGCGGATACTGAATCATGATTACAACGTGAAGATTGTTCGCTTAATGGCTGCATAAAATCGGATATGGTTAATAGAAAGTTTCTTGTTGCCTGCTAAATGAGCCAGTGGAGAAGGAGTTGCTTACAAATTTTCCAGAAGTTCATGAATACAGAATTCGGGAGTAAATCCTGGACCTGGCATCCATAAACGGAAACCCTATAAGCCATTACGTTCATGGAATGAAAGCAACCAACAGATGAAGGCTACATAAAAAGAATCCAGTCGCATTGTGGTTTGAAACTGCATGCATAGATCCTTGATTTGTTTATGCGTTTTTCCCGTTACTAATTATTCAGTAATGCAGCCAATAATCCAATTTCTAGCCGTCGATCATGTTTACCTACGATTCACAGTTTCCGGTGTTGATCAAGCCTTTTTCTACTGGATAAGGTATTGTTCCAGTTTGGTTTTCATTTCGATTTTAAGGTAGTAAAAGAATATCTAACCTTTTTAAGGAAAAAGTCCTTCAATTTTTTGAGCGATCAAGGGGTTGTTTACCAAACGCTTACCCAGGTAAGTGCTTACTAAGTCACATTACCTTATTGGATGAATATGACAAGGACCAAGAATCTTACCCAGTAAGAGCGAGGCAAGGACCGAAAGTATTATCCGGTAAATGAGGATGATGACTCTTACCATGGTTAGCACTTACCAGGTGAATTGTTGTATCCAATGCCGTTTTGGTGGACTAAAATCTTACCGGGTAAGAAAGTGATAGTGTTGAATTTTACTAGTAAGCGCCTACCAGGTAAGTGTTTGGTAAACTTCTCCTAAGTTCTTATGCAAGTTCTTTGAACACATAAATCTATGGATTTCTAAAACCTAGTTAAAGAAGATGACCGGTAAACCTGCTATGGTGGTATAAATCGTTTTTAAAGTTTGGGAAAAGCTCGGTAAAATCTAACCGGCTTTCCAAATCAAGTGCTAACCTCATCAAAACTAACGTGTCTCGGCTAAGGTCAACCTTTAACTACAACGAAGATTGTTGTGTTTGAAGCCTCTTTTTGAGACGGTGCCTAGATCGTTACGTCTTTCATGCGGGTCGGAACTTACCCGACAAGGAATTTCGTTACCATAGGAACGTTAAGTTACGACTGGCGTTCACCGGGGCTCTGGTCTCCGTCTCCCCCGCCACCAAACTTCCTGTAGCCTTGACCTTCCGACACTGGTATCTGAATTCCAAAAGCTCATTACTGATCATCCAAGACCATTCATATTGATAGATGTAACTGCTATTTATTTGATGAATAGACAATTGAATTAATCTATGTTCGATTTCATAAGAATTTCTAGTTATACCTCGTTAAAAATAGACTTTATTTTTAATCAATTAAATAGTTATTCTTTAAAAAGAAATTACGTTCAAGTAAGCAAATAATTTTGAATTAATGGTTTATAACTTTGTTCTCTTTCCAAAAGAAAACAAGGCTTTATAACATTGTTAAGTTCTAAAGACAGTATTTGATTATGATTTAATATAACAACTTATGTTGCCTTTACCGGCACGGTCAGATAGTTGTTTCAGATACAAGAAAAGAGATTTATCTTATTAAGTAAAACGAATTATAAAACAGTTGTTTCGGTTTTTCTTTCGTGTACAAGAAAAGCGGAAATCTTGATTAGATCTGATTATTGGGTAAAATTTATTTCAAGTAACATCAAAACTTTCAATATTTTTTAAATTTTATTAAGGTTTCAATATTTTATCACTCAATTGTACATGATTTTCCTAATTGTGTAAGAGAATCTTATTTTTTTTATTAACCTGGATATCCATCCCGCTATGCGAGCCGACTAATCCTAAAGTGACCACCTGTTTTGCAGATAGCATGTAGTCACCGCATTTAAACCTTCGTGACCATAAGGGGATTTTTATTCCTTCTTAGATTTGAACCTGAGACCTCATGATACTTTTGACCTTTGAAGCCAAACTCAAACCAATCAGGCACCACTCTTATGGTTGAGAATCTCATTTTTCCAGTACATTTTAAGTCAAGAATAAAATAAAAATCGAATCACATAATACAAATCTATCCCAAAAGGGAGAGGAGAATAAACGAAGATCGAGAAACCATATTTTAAATAGCTTTATGCAGTTGCAGTTGCATTTTATTTTAGCAAACATGTTTTTAAATACGTAGTTAAGAATAAAAAATGTGTGAAAAGGTGCAAATGTCATCTTTGTTATGTAAATATTTAGTATTTAAATATATAAAATGTTTGAATTATAAACCATTTAATATATATATATATATATAATTTAAAAGTATAAATCCGAAATAGGAATTTAGAAAAAGTAAATTTATTTAATCCAACTCACACTTTTTAATATTAAATCAAATACACGAATATCTTTCTCAAGTAATCGCATAAAATATTAATTAACTTTATTTTAAATAAGAAAAAGTCTATGAAAACTCAATTGATTTTAATGTTTGAAATGATTAAGTTTTTAGAACAAATAAGTTTTTTAATATTTCAAAACATGTTAAGTAACTTTTTTGATTTTTTAAAACCTGTTACATACATTCTTATTACTTATAAAATTGGTTAACATGATAAAGTAATGAAAAAAGTTTGAAAAAAACCCAATGAACTTTCATATTTTGAACAGTTAAGTCACTAAATATTTTTTGAACTAAAAAGATACTTACATTTATAAAATAAAATAAATACAAGTATTTATATTTATGAAAAATACTTATATTTAAAAAATATTATTTGATGAAATACATTTTAATTAAAAATAAAAAATATTATGTCAATGATTTTTT